GCCGATCCTCTCCGGCCTTGGGGGGGGGGGGCCCCGGTGTTTTGGGGATTTGCCGGCCCCTTGTTGTGCCGCGGCGGTGGTTGGCGCGCCGCCTTTCGAGGGGAAGGGGCCCTGGCGAGGGACCTCCCCCGCACAGCCGCCGCGTTCGCCACGCGCGGGGTTTGGCCTTCCAATTCCTCTTCTTCGGCGCTTTGAAGGTGTGTGGCGCCCCTCGGTTTCCAAAACGCGCTGTCGCCAGGGGCTGTTTTTTTACGCCTTCGCGGTTGGACTGCGCCCCGGTAAATTCCTTTTTCCCGGTAGGGGTTTTCCCTGCCACACCGTTGCGCCACCCTCGCGCGCTTTTGTGCACGATGGTGTTCCCAAATGCCTTCGCACCTTTTTGGGGCCCGCCAATTTGAACATTGCTGATCCAAACGTCTATTTTCACCTGCCTTGGATCCGCGCATCTTGTTTTACAACCCCAAGTTCGCAGGCCAGCCTCCCATTATTTTTTTTTATTGTCTGTTCTGCGTGTGCGGCCGTTTTGGGCGGCGTGAACTCTACGAGCTCCTGTTCTTTCTTCCTTTGGTTGGCTTTTTTTCTGCATTTTGTTCATCGCGGAATTCCGTGCCTTTAAAATGAAGCTTCGCCTGGTCTTTCTCCGTGTTCGGAACGGCCCGAGTAAGCGAAGCTCGTTTTCCAACGCCGTTTTCATGTATGCTCTTAAGTGGGCCGGCTTGTTTGCCAGAGCCGGCCAGTATCTAACGCGATCGGAAGCGCCGCGTCAAAACTGTAGGGGATGGTGTGCCTTCCAAATTGTGAGGGTGGTCCTGGGCGGGGGTCGCGTTCGATCGCTGTAGCCGCCGCGTCGGCCAGTGCCCCTCTTTGTATCGAACGCGCCGTCATTCTGTAGGGGTGGGGCGTGTTTTCCATGCCTTTTGTTGTTGGTTTTGTTAGTTTTTCCCCCGCCGCCATGCCTTTTCCAGCGGCCTGCGCCTTCGTTGCGCTTCCCCACACCCCCCAAATCGTTACGTGCCTTGCCGCTCTAGGTGGGCTAATTTTGAAAGCTTTTGGCAGCGCCCCCAACCAAGAACGAGGGCCACCTCGCGCCAGGGGTGCAGTGTGGAATTTTCCTTCTGGGCTGGGGAAGTTTCTCCGCGCCGCCTGGCCATTCCCTTGCCGGTAAAAGGGCGGCCCGGATCTTTTCTGGGGCCGTCGCGTTGCTGGTAGAATCGGGGGCTCGCCTCTCCATGGGGCGGGCTTTTTTTATTGAACTTGCTGCCGCCTGTTGCTGGAGAAAAGCCGCGGCTACTGGGTAGATTTGCCTTTCGGCCATTAAGGTTAACAGCGTTCTTGTATACTAAACGGTGCTGGGTTTGGATAATTTGAAGCTTACTAAATAAAAAAATATATTCTCGAACCTCTATGCTGCAGCCCGCCGCGAAGTAGCAGAATCTTTTCATTATGGACATATTTTCTGCCCAATGCTGGCGCATTCCCCCCCCCCCCC